CATATTGAGAGCGTGACCTTGATCGGCCACACTCCCCCCTGCGCGTGTTTCAGAGAGCGGCTCTAGGTTAATCCCATGTCAAAATCTCGACGGCCTCAGCGTTAGACGCTCTGAGGTTGTGAGCAATGGGAGAGTGATGATGCCATCGGGATTGTGGTTGACCTTTCCACTGGGGTGGCACGCGTCTGGCAAGGCACAGGCAGCACCAGCCTCGCGTGACGTACACAAGGCTGAACGTGGATGCCCAGACGCCCCTCGACACGGAATTGGCACTGGCAGGCGCTGGCTACCTTATCGCGTCACGCCATGCTCGATATTCACGCTCCTCCTTGCGTGACCACGTCATTCACTGATATATCACCCTGTTGAACTGACAACAAGACCAGTTTGTGCTCGAGCATGCGGTTCAAACAATAACCATCCAAATCCCACTTTGGTCCTATGCGAGCCATCCTGCCTGGGCGACCTCAATCTAAGAGACAGGCCCTTTGCACCGCGCATTGGTGCGGTCTGCGTCTGGTCGTGAGTTGTCTTCCATTCCACTGTTCTCAACCTCAGTTTTGATGAGGTGTTCAGGCATATGTATCCGGCAATGCCGCCGTCATCCTCAGCGGCCCTCAGTCCATCCTCCAAACCATTTATGTCGATACTGTCGATGCCCTCACTGCGATAACCCTCGAAGAGACCACGGGTCGGATAGCCCTCTGCGATGCAACTCACGTCTATATCTACAGACCAGCCGGTCGTGAAGAGGGTGTGCTGAGATGGACTCAGGTGCACGAGTTGAAGAATCCCGATGGGCTGCAGGTGGAGTCCTTGTCCTGGGGATCCTCTAAAGAACTCTTGCTCGGTGGTTCCAGACTTGTCCTCTGGCTCGTACCCGACGCTGGTTCTCCGACTATCATTTGGAATCAGCCACTGGCATATCCCACCGCCCTTGCATACTTTTCTCCCGATAGCAGCTTGATTGCCTCTGTAGGCCAGTATGACCGACTTGTCAAGATATGGAGACGGCTTTCGTATGAGGTGGAAGGGACCAGATTCGACGTTTCCTATCTACCACACCCGGCTGCGGTAACGAATTTGCATTGGCGGAAACCATGGCACGAGGAACAGATTCTGGACAACCTTCTCTACACGTTTTGTTCCGACAATCACATCCGTGCCTGGACCAATTTCGACCCTCACGCCCTCACAGTTCTACAGCAAGTCGGGGATATCAACATGAACTCTTCGATCCAGCCACGGAGACTAAGCACCAACTCCATTAGCACCAGACGATATGCCTTCATCATTGACAGCCGTGACTTTTCGACGGCCACGGAAAAGGCCGTTGAGAACTCTAGTCCCAAGAAAGCGGACCATGCCCTTGAACATCTCATTGAGATTGCGAATCGAAGTCCAGAGATCTGCATCGTCCTCGACGGACTGGGTCACATGTCTGTGTGGGGACTCGAGAACGCTGGATATAAAAACAGAATTCTTCCTTCTGTGTTTCACATCTCCCATGTCGATGGCATGAACGTCCATGTTCCGCAGTTGAGCGACCCATTGGAAGATTACGTGCAATTCTGCATCTTCGCTGGTGGAATGACCGAGTCATCGTTGTCAATTCTCCTCCACTCTTTTGCGGGAGATATTGATTGGTACGATAGTCAGATCACGCATCTGTTTGACACGGCCGCGAGACGAGATAGGACGGAACTGATTTCGACACTGGCGGGACACGGCACGCCAGTCCGGCGAATCGTCCGAAACGTGGTCGGCAACGTCGTCTTGTCCGGTACATACGACGGCAACGCTAGCATCTGGCAGCACGAAGGACATCTATCCAGTGCTCCGCTCCTGCGACGGAGTTCGTTCAACGTCAATGTGGAAATTAAAGATGCAGTCATCTTGTCTCGTGGGAGATACGCAGCAATCCTAAGTAGCCATGGTCTCGAACTGTGGGATATTCGCGAAGCGAAAGCTAAAAGACTTGGAGTCTGGAAATCCAATGGTAATCATTTACCGGTGCGCATTACCCAGAGTCGAATCGCCACCGAACGAGAACTTACCAGCCGTGTTATCGTGGGTTATCACGCGGATGGGACTGTTGAAGCCTGGGAGCTGCTCCTCCCAGCGAATGAACCAGGCGCAACAAATGGTTATCGCGAGATGATACGATCGTTGGGAGACGTCAGGCTGCATGCGCAAAACCGGTACAACGCCTTGATTTCCGTCTGTGACAATATGAGCACAAACAATCGACCGACCGATCCTCGCGAGGTCAACGCTTTAGGCTTTGCCGCAGCACTTGCCAAAGATGGCACCTTGGAGATGGTCAGGTCTCAAGAAGAGCCAGATTCGACGAAGCCGCATCTTATCTCTGGTTCTTTGATTGAAACGAACATCCGCAAGCCGAAAGCGATCAGTGCAAGCGGATACGGCAAAATTGTGGTTGTTCATGATGACGGCAGCAGCCTCAGCATATGGGATGCCAAGACCGGTTCGTGGGAGTATGAACATGAGCTTGATGGGACGGACACCATCCATACATTCGCATGGGCTGTCTCGCCACAAGGCTTGGCCTTAGTCGCTGTTTGCTTTGACTATCACATTGTCATCCTGGGCCAGGTCCGATACGCGTACCCGGACCGCGAATCGGCTTGGGTAGATCTGCGACACATCAGAATAAGAGACTTTACCACCCACTCGATTGGAGACTTATGCTGGTTGAGGAGCGGCGACCTTGTCGTAGGAGCAGGCATTCAGCTTTTCATCTTCAAGGGGTTCGCGAGGAGTCATCACAATGAATACGCCAAACCTCTACAAGATTTACGAGCAAAGATGCGGAATGGCGAAACTTTTGCCATGATGGCAATGTTGAACTCACTGGTCCCGGTCTTCCATCCAACTTTTCTCGCACTGCTTACTTGCATTGGAGGGCTCAAGGCTACCAAAGATGTGTTATATCACCTTCACCGTGATCTGAAGTACTTCACCGAAGGCGATGAGCTGTCGAGCTTCGTCAACATTCAGCCCGGCAAGATCACAAATGCAGAGAGGCCATGTCAGACGATTGACAAGCCGTATTATACCCCAAATGATGATTTAAACGGCGATGCTGAGAATCTACTACTTTCGGATTATGTACAAAGTCTAGACGACAACTTACGACGATATAAACTGTGGCAATTGACGGACGATGAACAATCCCGACTAGTGAAACAAGTCGATGTGGTTTCTAAAATAGAGAAACAAGAGGAGTCGGTCGATGCCAACGGCCAGCGCTATCTGCAAGCTCTATACACGTACGGCGATGAAGGCGTTCCATGGAGCGCCATTGCGTTCGCCTCATTGAGCACATCCCAAGAAGTTCTTGTCGACCTGGTCACTCGCTTGCACGGTGGTAAACTCACTTGGGAAGCGGCGCGGAAGTCTGGACTGTTCTGCTGGCTTTCGGATGTGGAAGCCCTCCGGCAGCAAATGGAAAACGTCGGTCGAACCGAGTTTACAAAGCATGAAGACCGCAACCCGGTGGATTGTTCGCTCTATTATCTCGCCCTTCGCAAAAAGACTGTTCTATTGGGTCTCTGGAGAATGTCGATCGGGGTGCGAGAAAAGGAAAATACCATGAAGCTGTTGGCGAACAATTTCGACGATCCGAGATGGAAGGCCACCGCATTGAAGAATGCATATGCGTTGCTAAGCAAGCGACGCTTTCAGTATGCTGCTGCCTTCTTCTTGCTAGGAGACAGTCCCTGGGACGCAGTGAACGTCTGCATTCATCAGCTGCAAGATCTGCAGCTCGCCATTGCTGTTGCACGAGTGTACGAGAGTGAAAACGACAAGCAGTCTTCAACCTTGACTAGGATGATGGAACAAACCATCCTGCCCATGGCCGTCAAAAATGAGCAAGGACGGTGGCTGGCAAGTTGGGTGTATTCAACGATGCTTGATCGTAAAGATATGGCTATTCAAGTCCTTGTGCACCCTGTGCACAAGATTGTGGGTAGGCCACTACTCGATGGGCATGAGGAACCGGGGATGGTCGGATCACTCAGCTATGCCGCTAACGACCCTCTTCTGGTGCTGTTGTACACCCAAATCCGCGCCCAACTGGCGAAACAAAACCAATGGCGCAGCGAGGTCATAAGCGCAAAGGACGAATGGGGTTTCATCATGCGTTGCGTGAGGCAGTATCTCCACATGGGATGTGACGTGCTTGCCCTGTCCCTCGTTAGGGACTGGGAGTTCGTCCCTGAAAGTCTGGACAAGCAGACAATAATAGTAGCAGTGGAAGAGGTGCCGCCCCAACCGCCCAGCCCGGGGCTCCAGCGCCGCAAGACATTCTACGATCTGGAAAAGGAGGAAGACGAAGAGAATATGCCGCAGGCGGAGAAGACGAAGAATAAACAGAAGAAGCCCCCTCCGACCATGTTTGAGGAGCCGAGTGCGGATAGTTTGCTCGATAGTTTTGGATTCTGATTCTGGTTCTGGTTCCTATGCCGATTCAGGTTGCGACCGCGACTGCGACCGCGATTGCGATTGCGATTCTGATGGGATGGAAATCAACTGCTGATTTAAAATTTAGACATTGTCATGAGCTATTGTTGTTACTGATCATTACTTTTGTGATGACGACGAGGTACGCAGTGCATACATAGCATACCAGGTAGATGTCGTCTTCTGGGCTGCCTAGCACGTAGTTTCATGTAGAACTTCTTTCGCGATTGATCTTCATTCTTGACGAGCACGGACGGGTACGAGTATGAGCAACCAAGTTGAGTGGTGTGCAAGATTCAAGATTCAAGATGCTATCCATCCATCTATCTATCCTTCCCTACTCCTAGGTATTGGATCTAGATCTTGATCTAGGCTCTAGCTTGTTCGGCTCTACTTGGCCCCTAGTTTGGCTCTAGCTGGCGAGGCTCCCTTCATCGCGTTCCATGTTCATGTCCATATCCATGTCCAACCCCCTCCCTGGGTGCTGTGGGCGGTATCGGTGATGATCGGATTCACACGCTCACCTTCTCAGGATCGTCTCCCTGTTCCTCGACGGCCTTCTCCTCCTCGTCGATCTGCCTGACCAACATCTCCTCGCGGCGGAGGACGTCGTCATCGAGATCTGTCCACCCGACCTCCCTGAGGATGGGGCCCGTCATGTGCAGGTACTTCAGGTGTCCCGACACGCGGTCAGTGAGGTCGAAGTTCTCGACGCCGCATACGCCCTCCTCCGAGATGTCCTGGAGACCCGCGACGGCGAGCTGCGCGCTGCTCGCGCGGTACAGGAACGCCAGGATGTAATCCTGGCGCGAGTAGACGTTGACCAGGCGGCCGGCGACGACGGAGCGCATGGCGCGCCACTGCGATGCGTCGCACGGCACGGGCGCGCCCATCAGCACGACGTTGTCGACCAACCCAAAAGCACCGCGCTGGGCGAGCGTCAGCAGGCACGAGTAGACGACCCGCGCGCCGAGGGACTGGCCGACCAGGGAGACGGGGCGTTCGCCTTGGACCTTGTTGATGAGCGCGTCAGCGAGCACTTCGCCGGCCTTGACGGCGCGCAGCTTCGCGACCCCGAATGGCGAGTCGACCAGCTTGATGGCCTTGCGGATCACCAGTGGCGCCATGAGCGCCGACCACACGGCCGCAAAGACTGTGCGCTTGATGAGCTCTCGCCGGATCTGCGACCACGCCTGGCTGACCACGAAGTCCTTCAACGCGGATCCCAGGTTCAGGAGGGCCTGCAGTTCCCACCGTAGCGCAAAGGGCTCACCACATTCCCCCAGCACGCGCCACGGCAACGTGACTTGTTCCTCCTCAGTCAGCCACCCGGAAATCCCAACCGTTATACGTAATCGACGTCGCTGCTTCTGGACTTCTTCCGGGTCATCCTCTCTGCCGTTGATAGGCAGGAATGCAAAGTCGTCGATCTCTTTCGAGTACTTTTCCATCGTTTGACTCGTCATCCTCGCTCCGTACGCGCCGAACAAACCTCCCACAAGCACCGAGCTCCCCGCCAGAGCGCCCAGATACCCTGCCGCTGCAGTTGCTCCAAGTCCCAATCCACCCATCAGCGTGCCCACACCGGCTGCCAGCAGGGGAGCAGCAAGACCTCCGGTAATTCCAATCAATGCAGCACCGGCCACGCCAGCGACGCCGATCTTCCATTTCCTTGCCATAGACGATGCCTGTTGGGCTTTCTGGGTGGATTCGCTGGCGTCCATTTTCGCTGCCGCGGTCAAAAGACCATACGCTGTATCTTTCTCCATCTTGGAGACTTCCGCTGCGCTGATGCGGAGAGAAACCGCGAGGCGTACCAGGAGGACACGAGAATGGGCACGGTAGGACTCGAGACTGAGTAGGAGGAGGAGAATTGCCTTGATGATCGTAGAGCGTTCACCCTGACTTAGATTTGCTAACGGTGTCTGTATAAATGGAAACACTTTTGAGAGTTTGCCGTCCACTTCTTGCTCACGAGAGGTGGGTTGGTATTGTTGCTTTGCAGATTCAGTCGCGAGGTTGCGGTTTCGCTCATAGTGTCTATTTTGCGTCGCTTCCTCGCGGGAATTGACCACCTCACCGACGCGGAGGATGACACTTTCGGCCCAGGCGTCAAAGAATGCCAGGGCTGCACTCTTCAGAGCTTCGGATTCAGGAGTTGGCGAAGTCATTAGTGTATCTGGTTCCACCCCGGTCTGTGGCTCATCCTGAGGTTTGGTTTCCCCCTCTTCGAGTTGAATGCCGCCTACCTTTTCGTCGACTGCCGTACTCTGCTTCGCCGACAAGCTCAATTTGGAGATCTCAACCGCTGCTTCGTCAGCTTTAGCTTCACGCGTAGGTTTTGGTTTTGGTTTCGGTATCGGCCTCTCATCAAACACCCTCACAAGACTCCTCCTCATCTCTTCGATGGTCTGAGAGATGAGAAGTGTCAAGTCGGCCCGCTCTTCACGGGTGAGAAGCGTTGCCAGTGACTGGTCATCTTCGGCGTTCCGTAGTTGGGCGCCGCTCTGGGCACGGCCAATCCCTCCCGGACGCTGCTGGGGAATGGCGGCGTTGACTCTGTTTTTGAGAGACGAGAGTGAAGGCATCCTCTGAGACTGCTCGCTGAAGATGTGCCTCGTGTGGTCAAACCACTTGACGTAACTGTTGAGGATGAGAAAGCTTCGTTCAAGTATGAAGGGGGAGATGTGATGTGCTATATCAAGGAGGCGAGAGGAGCCCGGGGTGTGCTCAATGCATCGGAGAACGTGGCACTTGTAAGCTGACAGGGTGGTGACGTGGGCCAAGCACTTCACAGCCTCGTCGGTCATCGTCAATGTTGATGCGAGGCTACGCATGTGAGAAAAGTACCGAGATCTTTCATGAGAGTCGGGATTTATCAAGTCTTTCCCTTTACCGGTGGGATCATTCACATCATTCCAAACACCATATAAGCACGCACGATGACTCGGAGCTCGATGTATCAGGACCTTCCAAATCAAGTCGACTAAGACTCATTCCCCCATTAAATGCGTCAAGGGATGCCCTTGTTCCGTCAGGAAATGCATGCAGTCTTGCCTTTCATTACTCCTCTTCGCTAACCTCGCTCTCGTCATCCTGCATATTTCCATGCGCCATTCCAATGCCCAAGCCAATACCTCTATCCTCGTTCTCGTCCTCTTCTTCCAGTGCCGCTTCTAGTGCCGCTTCAAGTAGATCTTCGTCGTCATCGTCGTGCGAAATGACTGGTTCAGGTGGTGTTGGCGGGGCTTGGTCAATTTGCTGTTGCTGTTGTGGCCGACGACCACGGTTTGGCCGGTCTTCATCTTCTGACGCATCATCCTGCGATCTCGAAACATCTCCACTGTTCGGCACCACAATGCTCTTCTCCCTTGGACTTCCCAGCTCGAACTCCTCCACGTCTTCGTCTTCTCCACCCGAAGAAGCGCCTTCAATATCTTTCATCGTCACATCCCTATCCATGTCCCTTCCTCGATCCCTTTCTCTGCCAGAACGACCCCTAGCGGGCTCCTCCACGGGCGGTTTAGAAACTGGCCTTGAAGAAGAACGGCCAATATTTGAACTTAACCCACCAATCGGCGTTGCGGTATGACTGCGGAACATCTCCGGATCGACCCTCCCACGTCGAGAGCGTCCATTGTCTGGAGGGGGACTACCCATATCGATTTCCAGATCGCCATCATCGTCGTTGATGATGATATGGGGTGAGCTGCCAATATTGTCAGAGACATTTCGCGTGTGGCCTTTCCCAGCCTTTGGCTGACTTGGTTTCGCGGCGGTGCTCGCTGATTTAGGAGCAGCTGCTCGAGTCACGTCGCTAGATTCATCATCTTCGTCAGAGTCAGAAACGCGGGCTTTGCTGAGAGGTTTGGTAGGCTTCGGCATGTCTCGCTTTGTGGGAGCCTTGGCAGCGGGTGCACGACCGGGCCCGATAGAAGGCGGAGATGTTCGAAACCACAGGGAGAGGAATCTTAGACAAGGGGCGCAGCGATACCACACAGGTGAATCTATATATTTGGAGGAGAATAGTAACAGAGATTAAAGCGAGTGACAAGTATGAAACTGGTACCACAGCAAGGACACCAGTCACAGAAAGTGACAGAGGCAGTCCATCACGGGAAGATGGCGAGAAGGTAGGAAGGTCAGAAGCTACAGGGAGTAGTTACAAGGGGTAGTTCTTACAACGGGTTGTGGTGATGGATGAATAAAAGGACAAAAGGACAAGGGGGGATGAATCGGGAACAAAAGGAAAGTTACGAGGTTCCGAAGTCCAAGGTGAAGCAGGTGGGCAAAGCGGGCCCACCGGCTCCACTTCGGCTAATTCCCCCCGGTATAAAAATAAAAACCGCTTTGTTCCATTCTCCGCTTCTCCACTGACTTGTGTACTCGTTACTTCTTACAACATGTTTGGCTGCAGGACCAGAGGGTAAATTCCAACTGGGTCGCAAAGAGGAAAAGAGAGGTTCTACCTCAACCACTCGAGTTTAGAGCCTGGGAAGTGGACGGTACTTGGGTTGATCGAAGCCACTGTTGAAGAGGGCAAGGGGAAGAGGGCAAGGGGAAGAGGGCAAGGGGAAGAGGGCAAGGGGAAGAGGGTGAGGAGAAAAGAGGCTTAGATCTACCTTGACATGAAGAAGTGATCTCGGTGAGGCCGTGGGGAGAAACCCTCCTCGAGCGGACTTTATTATGGTACTCCATACATAAGAGTTCGGAGGTGGTGCGAAGCTCGCAGCCTCACCATGCCGAACGAGGCCTGCGATATGCAAAGCAGGATAGATCAGGCCTCCAACCGGCATCATATCCAGCCTGCGAACTCACCTGGTGGCCCCGTGAAGCTAACTTGAGATAACCCTTAGAAAATGGCTACCTAGGTAACCTTCAAATCTTTCGAGACAAACCTGTCGATGGCGGAACCAACGCATCTCACACAAAGAGGACAAAACCTGGCCGTGGCCTATCATCTATCCCGAATTCATGCCCATCTACTCCAAACCATGTCGTCCGGCAGGCCCTGTCGCCTGTTGGGCGGGCATCATGAATAACATCAATCATCATCATCACCATCAGGGAGAAATCCCTTCCCCTATTGAGATTATTTTGCTGCTGCAAAGCGATCAAGCAGTGCCTGCAATTCGCCATTCAGTCTCTTCAGCATGACAATCGCGCCACGACTCAATGGCTTCATGAACACTTTGGTCTCGTCGTCCTTTGCACCTGCTGAGTCGACCAGTGAATCATCGTTGTTTGATCGAGCCTTCTCAGAACTCTGCAACAATAGCTTTCCTCGCTCAACAACAGTGCCAAGTAAGCTCTTGGCCGGGTTCGAGACATCGTGTGGCAGATATAACCAAGCAAGTATGTCTTCCACAACCCCCGGAGGCTGGAGCAAAGCATTCTTCACAAATCCCCTGCTAATGACAAATGCTTTTTCACTGTAAGCCTCGGATTCCCTTGTGTACGCCTTGTCGTGCTCATATCCCTCGAAACCTGCCTCGTTGTAGAAGGGCTTCTTCACAAACACCAACCCTTGCAATGAGACGAGAAGCTGCAATAAGGTGGCCTTCGGGCTCCAGGTCTCGCTCGCCTCCTTTCCAGACCAGGTTCCCAGGAGGCTCAAGCAGATCTTGCCTTCTTCGTAAAGGTTCGGATTGATGCGACCCAGCCCACTGGTCCAGCTGTGAAAATGGGCTGTAGGAGGTTTCGAAGGAAACCCGGCAGGCAAGCACAGGTCGATCAAAAAGGGAGCATTTTCATAAGGCGTATCTTTCGGACCGATGATAAGACACCGCAGGAGATCGAGTCGACTCTCGTACGTGCGAACATAGATCTCACCCTCGGGAAGCGACGTCGCCAATATCTGGTGCTCTTTGAAGATACGTTTGAGAGGACGTGGCGCTGTCGAAACATTCTGAAGCCCGAACTGATCAGATGGGGGCTCCCGGTCCACCACAAGAAACTGCGCAGGCGGTTCAGATCCCAGTGTTTTCTCCAGCAGAGAGAGAGCACCGTCTGAGCTCCCTGTGGTACCTCGTTGCTTTCCAGCGTCAACCATTTCTAGATCTCCGTCAACATCCTGTAAGTCTTCTTCAGCGTCCTCAAACGTCTCGTCCTCATCAGACACCCAATTTTCGTCGCCGCTGTCATTGTCGAGACGTACTCCGCCTTCGTACTCTACACTCTCGGATATGGGCTCGGCGAATCCTTCAGACAATTCAGCCCACGAGTCAATGTCCATAAGACTGGAATTCGACGGATCCTCTTCCATATGATCGCTGAAAATGGCGAAGATCGAGTCAACATGAACTACCACATCTCGACAAGGTTCAGATGCTCCCAGACGGACAGTAACGGAGCCGTCAAGTCCCAGTGACACAATTTGACCAACCCACTCAAGCTGACCTACCAGGTCCTCTTTATATCTCGGCGTAGCCGCCCGTGACGAACAAGAAGCCAGTGCACGCTGCTGCTGAGGATCTGCATTCATGCTGGAATCTGAACCCTCCCGAATCCACCCAGCTGCCCCAACAAGCTCTGGGCGATATAGCGTGCGGATTCCATCATCCGAGGCTTGGAATTTCTCCTCAGTTGCTAACACGCACATTGAGCCTCGCTGCATCATCAACGAAGGAAACGACATGATTTCGAAGAGAGATACATCCTCGATTTCATCTCCAATGGGGCCAAACCATGAGTACGGCGCCAGGATTTGGCCTGATGCACACAATACAATTTTGGGTTCCTTGTACCACCGCACGCGGGCAACTTTCTCGGTTGGCTCAACTGACTGGACCACACCCACACCGGTCGGCAACAGGTCATGGGGCTGTTCAAAGAATGTCATCTCGTCAAAGTCTTTTACCCTGCCATTCGCCTTTCCCGCTTCATTAACTGGCCTTTGCCGCATACCTTCTCTTTTCAACACAATGTCCGTGGGCAGGACTTCAGCTTCGAAGAGGGCAAACGTTCTTAACGACTTCGAATCGGTTGTAGTGACACTACCGTCTTGCCACATGACAGTGACAGACGACCGCAAGAAAACAATTTTGTACTCGTTGAGATCACAGCCGGTAGGCTGATCCTTCTGAATCGGTAGAAATCTTCCATGTGAAGTTCCCTCGATTCCCTGATATTTTACCCTTGCTGCAGAGGGATCTCGAAAGTGGACATGGACGCCAACCCCCATTCCATGGCCTGAATACACAATTCGGCTATTGTTGACTTCGTCAGGGGACGCCTGACCATTGGCAGATCCAGCTCCATTGTTAAATGCGCGTTGGTCAGCAGGCTTTACCGGCATCTTGCCATTGTCATAGATCGCCATATCCGCCTTCAGGCGCAGATCTGGAACCGACTTGTGAGAATGGATGTTCTCGTAGATGTGTGTCTCGGTCCTGGGTGGTGGACCTGCGTTGGTCGGGGGTGGGTATCCCATGATGGCCCAATCGGCCATGACATTATGAGTTCGGATATCAATGACGATGCCTTGGGAAGGGATCCTCGGGTCGTATGATCCATGTAACCATCTCCCATTCCGGAGAGAAGAACGATCAATAATGACAAAGTCACCGCACTGTGCAGCTGTAACGGGGATAGTGGTTGTCCAACCTTCAGTAGCCCCCAGAATATCAGGTCGCCAGAGTCCATCGAGTTCAGGAACTGCAATGAGAGGCTTATGGTTGTCGGGAAGAGGCATACGCAAGCCGAGAGACCCACAGATGACCACGACGGACCTGTTTGCAAGCATGACCACGGTGTCGTATTCCACGTCTCGCGCCGTTCCCACCCATTTACCAAATATTAAGAAGTCATCTAATGCGACATCCTGTGCTCTTTTGACTTCGCGTGCAGGAACATTGTAAAGGAGGATGTGTGGGTTCGGATGCGTGAAGTGCTCAGGCAGGGTTCGCGGACATGTGTCCAAACAGGTCGGAGACGCTGACAGAGTGTTGGCGAAAACAGGGTCAAGGATGTAAGTCTCAGACACATCGACGACCGTGCCGGTCAACGGGCTTCCATCTTGTTTGACGTAGTCGCCTAGCCGGAAGGAACGGCTGATGAGTACGATGTCGTCCTGACTGACAAGAGAGCACCCTGCGGTTGGATGCGCAAACTCGACGTAGACATACCCTTCGGGCGGCACGCCAGTAGTGAGGAACCGATTCAGGATGTCGGGCGGGACTTCGACATGAGCTATGATCAACTCCTCTTCGGCAAAAATTCCAATTGATTGGCTATGAGTGCGCTGGACGTAGCCATGTAAGGAAACATCTTGTCTGAGAGCGACATGATCCGAGACGTCGAATGGGCTCATTGATCTTGAGCGGGTTGAAGAGGTTCGTCAAGCAGGGTGGTCACGCACTAAGAAGAGATTGTAGAGGCGGATGGAGGCAAGTGCGGGAAACGTAACAACCTGCGACGCGTCGACGACATTGAATGCGCGGGGCTGGTGAGGGACCTTGGTTACCATTACAGGCAGGTGGCGCGATCTTTTTTTACCAATATAGGCAGGTAGAGCGTATCATATTAAGGCTGAGCTGATTTTCCTTCCTCTCACAATCTTGTCTCCCTTCTCTCAGAACTCCTTGTGCAATCAAAAACAACAAGCTAGCTGGTTTAAATAGAGGCATATATCTTGAGAAGGCCGAGAAGTACACCAAGCAGCGACTATGCATCGATCTGTACCGTGAATTGGGTTTAAAAGTCTCCAAGATGCTAACTTGCTTTATTTAATAGGGCAGCGTGAATGGACGTGACAATGCCCCCCTGTATTTCCGGCGATCAGTGAAATCTGCTTGGTTGTAGAGCTACTCCTTCATTGCTGCATTGTTCCACAAACGAGGGATTGCTCTATCATGCTTTCTCACTTCTCTTGCGCAAATATACCTCAAGTCCCTCCTGAACCACGAAAAAGGTCGAGTGATATGCCAACGGCCGTCCAGGATGCACAAGGGTCACGTCGTACTCCCTCAAGATCTGCACAAGGGTCTTGTTCATCTCGAACAGCGCAAGATTACGGCCAATGCAGAGATGGCTGCCGCCCCCGAACTGTTCGGTAAAAGTGACACGGTAAGCATCTGCCCTGCCCGGTGTTTTCATACGTCGAATACTTCCTACAGGAGTGTCGATGGGGGAAGGGCCCTTGAACATACCTGATATAAATGCGATCCCATCAACTTAGCGTCACGCTCAAACCATCTCTCTGGCCGGAATTCATCGCAATCATCTCCAAATATCGAGGCATCCCGATGCAACACCCATCCATTAACTGCAACCTCAACACCGCCGGGGTAAAATTTGCCATCGATCTCGACACCCTCTGGTGGGGTTTTGCGGTAAATTCCTAGACCAACTGCTGGTCGCACCCGCATAGCCTCCTTCAAGCAGGCCTGGAAATAAGGCAAAGCCTGTGCTTCGGCGTACGTGACAATTTCAGACAGTTTGCCGGCCTTCTGAGCCTCATCAATCTCCTGGCAGAGGTTGGCGTAGACCTTAGGAGCGTTGAGGACCAAGTAGAAAAAAGACTGCATTGTCGAAGCTGTTGAGTCTGATCCCGCAAATCTACAATCGCGCATAAGCATAAAAAAAAAAAAAAAAAAAAAAAAAAAAAAGTGTCTTGTGGCAGCATCACTTACACAGCGCCGTGAGCAATGCTGAAAACATCATTCACTGAGAACTTCTCCGGATTTGCCTCATGTGCTCTCAATAGCTCGGCCAGTAGATCAATACCTGTGGAATCGTAGGTACCGTCCTTCTGTTTTCGCTTCTCAAGTTCGGCGACGGCGATTTTCGTCATCGTGGTTGGCTTCATTTGCAAGCCTAGGTATGGTCGGATTGGGTTGTTTCGGAGTAGTATATCGTATTCTGCGATATGGCCCACGATTCCATCGTACCACTGAACGTCGTCAATGTTTTTGATTGATCCTTCGATGTCGATTTCTTGTTCCAAGAAGCCGAATTGTCGTGAAAAGGCGACTTCTCCAAGTACCTGAACGAACTTAGCTAGCGAGTAAGGAAGGGCTGCGACAGCCGTACATCAAAAGCGAAGTAATGCAATAAATTACCCAGGTTGCAGATCCTCTTATTTTCGGTGGCGTACTTCTCTAGATGCTCCATCAAGAGCTTGATCATGTTCTCAATCGGTTCTGATCGCTTTTGCATCTGTGCGAGGCTGTAAGGAGTGACGGCATAGCGTTTCATCTGCGCATGCTTCCATTCACGAACTTCGGTGAAGATATCCGGAGCATGCTGTCACGCATCACAGTTACTTTCTCAAGCCCGACAGCAAAGAGGCACATGCGGGTCATCGGAGTTACCTTTGGCGGGAAGACGCTGTAAAACATCGTCTTATGGAAACCTTTACCCACAGCAAAAATGTCTTTGGCGGCATTACAAGTGCCGAAAGATACCTCGTTGGGGGCCGTTCGGACCACAGGCCCTGCAGGTGGTCAGATTTTCGGCCCATTGTTGGTTCGCAGGCCATGGCTTACCGTATTTCTTATGCAAAGCTATATGGTCCAATTCGGTGTGCCCATTGTAAGTACTCCACACTGTTCAGGTCGAAAAGTCAGCAAACACGAGGAGAGAAATGCAGGATCAGCAGGACTACCTTTCCAAAGCCTCGAACACGAAGCCAACCACGGGCCTGGCACATTTCGCAGAGGAGAGACATAACGCTTATAGAGGCATCGGATCACAAGGGAAACGACTGCCAAAAGGAGCAAATTTGCCTTCAACAAGGCCAGAGCCTGGGCAACGAGCGAATGGCTCGCAGCCGAAGACGATGCGTTCTCAGCCTTCATCTTCACGGGCGGTCTTCAGATGAAACACGGTGCCTCGACACTGTGGCCCGGGAGTAGAAGTCTGAAAGAAGGAGGAGGAAGACAAGCAGCAGGAGGAAGAAGACAGGAATGAACCCATAATCACTATATCTAACAGTATGCGCCCCCGCGCAACTGGGCTTGGTTCGCATCGTTCTGCCGATGGCTTCCCTCGCGATCGAGAACCTCGTGTGATATCATCCCCCTGAATGTCCCATTTCATCCAATCAACACCGCGCCCGGTCGTGCGCCTTGGGGCGGCAATTGCAAAAGCTGGGTTCGGCTGAATTTGATTGGCACATTTGCTGGGCTGAAGAGCTCTGCTTCACCGATGGCAGTTGTTAACCGTGTAGGTCCAATGCAGCAATGGCCCCGCGAGAGTCATCCACATCGGAAAAACCCCGTACAATGTCGGCAGTGGCACTCTGACCCCACATCGCCGTTTGTGGAAGGTTGGATCAAAGCACCCCATGTTGTGGCGCATTCGATGTGGCGGTTGTGGCTGCCTATCTTCGCGGAGATGACTTTCTCAGAGGCGGGTGATCGCTTGACGGACGGCGAAGGACGTGAGTGGTTGCATCCAAGGGCTGGGGCGTCCTGACCATGGCGATAATCATTCCGCTTTTCAAAGCACAAGGCTGACCATGCAAGCTGATGGGAAGTAGTTAGGGCAATCTTGGGTGGGTAAATTCCACATAGATATTCTCAGCCTCGTTTCCTTTCAGCTCTACCCACAAGTTGGTTACATAGCCTTTCAGACTAGTCATTCATGTGGCTTGCCTAGTGAATTACATGGCGTCGCCTCCACCGAGTACATATTAAATCTCAAACTCCTCTCCAACCAATGCTTCACTCAGTTTCCACAATTTTTCCGCGCCCTCCAGACTCTCAGCATACTCGTACGTACTCTGGCACTGGCAATCTGCCATATACATCCCACTCTGCGATTCAATCCTAGGATCTAAAGCCGCCACTAGAGTTGTGGAAATACCTTCCGCCATGCTCTTTGGTTTATCCTGGTCGAGGGGGAAGTGTCTGCCAGTATTCTTCTGCGCGATTGCTTCAATGCTTGCGAGCGACGCCGCAATATCGGTCATGTGGTTTGCCAATTGCGTCTCGTATATGCCGCCCGGGTGGACAGCGTAGCTTTGGATACCACGGCCACGAAGCTTGTTGGCGAGATATAGTGAGAAGAGGATATTGGCCGTCTTAGATTGGCCGTAGCTAGACCAAGGATCGTATTCCTTGCCATCAGAGAAATTGTAGTCCTCAAAGCGGACGGGACCGATTTTGTGGCCGAGGCTGGTCAAGTTGACAATTCTCGATCCAGGCCCAGCGGCAAGAATCTTGGGAAACAGGAGTTTCGTGAACAGGAAATGACCCAGGTGATTGGTCGCAAATTGAATTTCAATCCCGTTCTTGTTGGTCGTATATTGTTGGATTGCCATAATCCCCGCGTTGTTGATTAGAATGTCGAGCTTGGAAATTTTGCCGTTGATGGTGGCCGCGGCGGCACGGACGGAATCAACGTCGTCGAGTGACACAGGGACGAAGTCGACCTTGATGGCCGGGTTGATTTCTTTGATGCGGGACATGATCGATTCCACCCGGGATTGAGAGCGAGCAAGCAGGATCAAGTGTGCCGGATTGCCATGGGCGAGTGCAACGGCAGTCTCTCCTCCTAGGCCTTTCTCGCTAGCACCTGTGACGACGACTTATTGGCTTGTCAGTACCAACCGTTGCAGAACATTCAGGGCCAGAAGAACTGACTGGTCTTGCCCTCAACTCTGTCAGCGAATTCTCTGACAACCTCCACTCCGGTGGTCTCACGACTGAAAGTCTTCATCTTGAGGTGACTGGCGTGAACAAGCTGGCAGAATCTGGCTATGTTTGGGTAAGGAAGTTGGGGTGAGTGTTTGAGTTACTGTCATCTCAGAGGAGGTTGAGGCAAGCGCTGGGGTTAAATAGCCTTGCAACCCAGGCAGAATCGTGGAGAGCAATTGGGGGATATCCTATCTCCATCTCTACCTACCACTTACCATTTTACCATCATTTCCTAAGCGGGGACATGGCCGATCTGCTGATAGTTGTGCACACGTGTGACTCAGCCAGACGGCCGCTTTCCGCAAATATTCTCCATTTGCCGAAGGGCTCAGGAAAGCACAATTTCCAATGCGGCCGACACTCGAACAAAGCAATCCTGGAGTTGGAAAAGGAGAATCAAAAAAAGGGCCAAGGCTTCGGTCGAACGCGGCCGCATTAACCCGCAGCAACATTAGCAACTCGGACTTTATGTGAAGTTAAAGGCGGATAGACGGCGATAGTCAGCGACTCACCTCTCGACCGTTTCTCAATCGGACCAATGCTTGCAATGGCGTCGACACGGGCACGCGACGTCAATGTCAACATCAGAACCAGCTGTTATGAATAGACCACAGGAGAGGGAAACAGTTTCATTTAGGTCATTATTGGCTGCCGGCCTCGCATTCGCGCTTTGGTCACAACTTCGGCTTCAAGCGAGGCAATTCCTCATTCGAGCATAAATATTGTTACACGACTTAAAGCGAGTGTTGATACTCATAAAGGGGTATCTCGAAAACAGGAAAGAACGCCGAATTCCATATTTCAAAGCAAAGCCATGCCCACCAAGTCCCTGGGTCGTTCCATTCGGCTCCATCTGCCCCGTCAGTCTGGCCTTCTCAGCACGTATTTCTTTCACCGATCTGATATCCAGGCTGAGAACGTTGGGCACATTCTTTAGATGTTCTCGATAACTCTGGCGTTCATGGCCTGTTGGAAGCCATCGTTGCTATCCATGTTGAAAGCGTTACCAGGATTTGGCTTGGAATTGTAGCCACTGGCTTCGCCAGTGGTCTGATTCTGGAGCATGGCGTTCATATCGGTGGGCATGGTCTGGTTAGTCGCGGGCAAGAAAATGACCTTGCTGTTGGCCGTCTTGGCCATGGCTTGCATGGCTTCGAGATATCTGATTTGCATGGCGGGCGCGGAGCTCAAGATATCGGCAGCTTGCCTCATAAGTTTGGCCGATTCAACCTCAGCACGTGCAGCAATGACCTTGGATTCACCGATTCTCTTGGATTGAGCAGCCATTGACAGCGAATCTTGGAGGTCGTTGCTGAAGATGATGTCCTTGATGAGCATAGATTCGACCTGGACACCCCAGCCTGCAGCGACCTCCTCGATGATCTCGCCGATTGACTGAGCAATCTCTTCACGGCGTTCAATAACATCCTGGAGAACACGTGCACCCACCACGTGACGAAGGGTGGTCTGAGTACGCTCCACCAGGGCCTGGCGGATGTTGGAGATACCAAAAGCGGCCTTGTGAGGAGAGGTGATGTGATAATAGATGACCGATGTCAAATTGAGGGTCACGTTGTCTAATAAAATATGGTACTTTAGCAAAAACACTTGTTTAATAAGCAACAAGTAAATCAACGTACCCTTAGTCATACAAACTTGACGTGGCACCTCCACGATCTGGATCTTGACATCGACTTGAATGAGGCGTTCGGAGAGAGGGTTGACCTTGACCAAGCCGGGATCGACGGCGCGCGAAAAGCGCCCGAATTTAGTGACCAGACCGACGTTTCCTTGAGAGACAGGTTTGTAAGGGTTAGGGCAGATGATGCAGCAGGGAATGGCACCCATGCATCCAATGCACTGTCCAAGGGTGTTGACTGCGCAGGATGTTAGCAGCGCCGTTCAGGTTCCTGACTCTTTGCGGGAGCGCATACTCATAGACCCGTACCAGCCATTATTATCATCATCAGTGTCTTGCAGAGTCTGCGCATAAGAGGGTTGTAAGTCCTCACGTCGCGGTGGCTGCACCTTGATGACACCACCGTTCTGGGGACGGAATCCGATCGGAGGAGCGGCACTCTTGCCAGTGTCGCCGGCAGACTCACGAGGAGAGTCCATTGTTGAAGGGTCCGATTCGGAGATCAGGGGACGCGTGGACGACGACACGTTGGGCGAGGGAGGGTTTCTAGGATAATCCTCAGAAAGGGAGAGGTTCTTGTTGTGAAGGAGATGTTGTGGAAGACTGTGTTTTGCGCTGGGAAGAGCTGCGACAAACCACAACTGAATGGTGAAGGGAGATGAGACAGGGAGGATAATATAACGAGCCAGTCTAGGTCGTCATGGATTGAGGGACTGATATACTCCGGACTACCCAGTAAGTATGAGAGAGATCTGAAAGGCGGTACCAAGGGTGGAGGAGCATGAGTGGCAGGCTAGGAGGAGAGCGAGCCGTGAGACTGGGCAAGACTGGGCCTAGCGGCCTAAGGGTCTGGCACCACTTCCTCCAACTCCCTCGTAGCTTGGAGCATCCTTGAAGCATCCTGCGCCTAAAACCCATCCTGAGGCACGCTATTTCTGGAAGCATGGACCCCCCTTTCTCGCGCATCAAGATCCTGTTAGAGGTAAACTCCCTCAGTCACGGGGCATGAACATGCTGCTTGAGGACACTAATTGGCGTCTTGCACGGGTATCCATCTAACGCTAACCGTGCACCGCACGGCCGTTGTCGACCTCCGATGAAAGACCCAGAAGACATATTTTCCATGATGGGGAAGGACAGGTGCGCCTGACAAGACGGCAAGGGGACTATCATGCTGGACATTCCCCTCGTATTCTGATGCGAAGGACATTTAGCGCAGACGAGGAATGAGGATGTGGAGAAGCAATCGTACGACCAATGTCCAGTAAGCACTGGTCTGGCCGGGGCGCACATTTCCTGCTGAGTTTTGACCTGTCATTGCAACTACAGATGAGGCAGTGCAGACAACCCAAACTCCACCTGCAGATTACGCTTTCTTACCCGTCTGCCTCGGGCCATCAGTGAGTGAACGATTCGCGTGGTCTTTGTGCGGGTGCTAATAGTGCCCTGCGCGTACCACACTTCAAGATGCGGCATATTCACCCCCCTGCCTTGAAGGTCCACCATCTGCCGCCTATCC